AAGAAGAAGAAGAAGAAGAAGAAGAAGAAGAAGAAGAAGAAGAAGAAGAAGAAGAAGTAGTCACATACCCAAACACTTCCAAGACCAGAAAGATAAGAAAGGTCGAACTGGTTTTGTCGTCAGCCTGAGGATCCACCCTGTCGTTGCCTGATCCGCCTCGCCAGGACCAGTGGATCCTGAGAACCTGCTTCGCCAAGAACGGCCAGGCGGGTCAGGTCGTGTGAAACAGGCGATTCTTCGACTCCCTCTAAGGGTGAAATCCCCGGGTCACATATGAATATTTGATCATCTGTTTTGAAACTCCAGGGTCCGAAAAGAGCCTCAAGCAACTCCAAGCGCTGTGGGACCTTCTTTCTTTTTCTGGTGGGGGGAAGACGCAAGCGATTTCTGGGCTTCTGAAAGACGAAGTTCAAGTGCCTGCTCAGAACTGTTCATTTTTTTAAACAATGGTTTTAACAGTGGAAGACTTCCGGCCTCTTCTGACGTGGAGGGACCAACCTCTCTCACCATGTTTCATGACACTTATCATACTTATCCCGGACTTATCCCTGAAACAAAAACAACAACAACAACACACTAACTCGATCCAGACGTTTCTTTTGAAAAAAAAGACCACCCACCCCGCCGAGCCCGCCGGGCGAGAGCGCCACCCCTTCGACCCTCCGCGCGCCATCGCGTGGATCCGCGGTGCCCGGTGAGGGCTTGGCGCAGATCTTCGTGTGGGGCGAGCAGCCGCTGCCGGAGGTCATCGAACTCAAGCAGATGGCCAAGGCGCAGCGGCGCCACCGGTCACGGAGGGAGGTGGTGTGGGTGTGTGCTGCACCGGGGTCGTGGTTGGAAAACACCCTGCCATGCGGGTTGTAGGATGTTGTAGATGAGTGGTGGCAAGGTGGTGGAGCTCAACTGCCATCGAATCCTTCCCTCCATTCTATCTCGATGCAGTCTCCATATACTGCTTGCTTCTTTCAATCAAGCAATCCTTTTGAACGCTGGCGGTGTCTGCTCCCCTGGCCGGGCCCAGCTTGCCCGGGCGCTGTTCACTGCACCAGGAGGAAGAGGAGGAACGAGAGAGGATTCGCCTGGAGAAGGAGAAACGAGAAGAGGAGGAAGGCATGGAGAAGGATCTCCCCAAGGCCCACTCCGGCGCGGCGAATTGGCGCGGTGCGCGTCGTCACGGAGAGGTTGGGAATTTCGGAACGTAGGGCACCCAGTGGTTCGGAGGAATGGCCCCCCCTTGGCCAATGGCCATGCGACCAAGATGGTCAGACCATGTCAGGACCCCAATTTCGAAGGAGAAGACTAGAATTCCTTAGATTTGTGAGAGAGCTTGGTGGTTGAAGGTCCCTCCAGTGGTGTGTGTGCGCAAAGGAGTCACTAACAGCCCCACTTCTCACCCTTAACTGGACAGCCCTGTCCTGGCTGGCAGGAACGGCGGAAGGGCTCCAAGGAGCCCGGCTCCAAGGAAGAGGCGGCGCGGGTCGGTCTCGGGTGAATCCCCACCCGGTGCGAGTTGCTGCGTGTTGCGGTGGGCGAGAGCTGCGGCCGCGGGGGGGGCGTGGTTGGTGGGCTGGGTTTGGTGCGGAGAAAGAGACGACTCTGGAGAAAAATCACCTCTGGAAGAGGCTTTACAATCCAAATGGGGGGGGGTAGCGTTCATCAGCAGCTGCAAAATGGCAAGTTGATAGTTCTGGTGGTGGTTCTGACTGGAAGGAACTCCTATCCTTGTGATCATCGTTCGCTTTTTCTCTGAATCGAACCCATGGACCACGAGAGGAGCATTGGATCGCGGAAGAAGGCTAGGCTGGCTAGGCCCAGGCTTTTACGGGGGTTGATAAGAGTTCTGATTTTGTTCGGAAAGCACAGGGGGATCTGACTACTGATCATGATCCTCTGCCCACACAGCATCCAAGCTGGAAAGCTACAAGCACAATCAAGCACAGCTACCAGGGGGGGGTAGGACAGCTGGTCCCAGTGGTTCTGGCAACCCACCTCCTTGTGATTGGAACCCGAAAAAGGCGTGGGCGTTCAATCAGGTGACGGGCTCAGGCTCGGGAGTGAGCTGGCGACTGACACCAAGATGGAAGATCATTCAATTAAGTTAAAGGTTCGACCCCGAGAGTCCAAGGTTCGACTCATGCATAGTACCCCTATGGCAGTGGATTCTAATATACCAGGTGGAGTAAATATGAGTCAAGTCACGGAAGTTCTGGGTAAGCTTCTATAGTGTTTCATCGCCAGAGAACTCAGGTCTTTCGTTCGTCTGTTGCGGTCGGGTCTTTCGTTCGATGTCGGGTCCAGGTGAAGTTGGAGGACATGACGGAGGAGGACGCCAAGAAGCATCGCCAGATCCAAGCCATGGCCCCCCGGCCTCGGTCGGACGAACGACGGCGCGTCGATCGGCCGTCTACGGACGGGAGTCGGAGGGGTCTGCGGAGGATGGAGCCGTCTGTCGGAACGGATGTGGCGCGCGAGTGCCGGTGGCGTTTTCCGGTGGTGGTTTTCCTGAAGCTGAGAGAGTGTGGGGGAGAAGGGGCCGGAACCGGTCCGGTTCGTGAGGGCTTTGGGTTTGAGCTCCTGTTCGTTGGCAGGTTCGAGTCCTCCTCCATCTGTCGCTGGGGGAAGCCGTATCCAAAGCTCGGTCTGCACCTGGACCATCCAAGGGGTGTTCTGTCTGCCCTGGGAGTCAAAAGACTATACAAAGAATGGTCTTTAGGTGACCCAAGTTCAGGAAGATCCTTTACTTCAGTCGGTCAAAATATAGTCTTTGGACTTCTAGGGGTAGTGTAGGGTAGTCCATCGGGCACCCCTTGAAGATGCTCCTGGATACTATCACATTGAAGATGCTTTTGTGTCGATATCACCACCTACGCGGCCTCGTTGGTGCCCGTTCGCATCTCCTTCGGCCGCCAAGGAGAAGGCCAAGCGGGAGGCGCAGAGCAAGAAGGACGTCGACTCCTTCTTCTTCTTTGGGGGGTGCTAAGCAGCCCCAAACTTCCAGAACCCCATAACTTGTTCCATTTTTCTCGAATAGGGGTCACAAAGGGGTGGTTAATGGACACCCCTTTAACAGCTAAAGGGCTATAGGCTACAAATCGACGCTCCTTGGAGGGTCCTGGCAATGATTCTTTTGAACAAATGACCAGTGACCGAACTGGATCTCCCATTGCTACACCGTCTGCACTCCTCCCGGCGTTCAGACGCTGCAGACGCTGCAGACGCTGCCATACTGACGTCACAGATGGAGGGCCCTGGGTGCTTTGCTTCTTCTCATGGACCTCTGGGAGAGCATGCGACGTGACGAAGAAGGCGACACCCCGATTTCCCTTTCCTCCAAAGCTCGGCAGCCCTGTCTTGTGAGGAGGTACCACCCAATCTTTCCATCAGCTTCGCCTCATCCACGACCAGCTTCGCCCGGCTTCGCTTCCGACGTCCGTGACCGGCCCGGAGGACCGCAGCGTGATGCAGACCACGCTGGACATGACCGCGCTCACGCGCACGGCGGCCACCATGGACGAGGCGGGCCGAGCGGGTGGAACGTCGGGGGAAACGAAACCGGAGGAGGTGCTTCCGTGCCGTGAGGTGGGGTGAAGAGAAGTGAAGATGGACAGGAGGCCCTACCATGACTTTGGGAGGTTTGAAAGAGCACCCAGGGCCAGGTGATGTTGTGACAGGTGAGAGTTTCATTTTTTTTCCTAAGCGAAAGAGCACCCAGAATAGAATAGAGTATTCTTTCACGTTGAAGACGTCTGATGACAAATTTGTATCATTGAAGACATCCAAGTATGTTCCTGGAGAGGGGATGCACATGCATGTGATCGACGACAAGCAGACCCGACAATAGAACAATGCTGCTGTTTTCGGTTTGTAGATCTACTCCTCTAAAGGCTACAGCCTCAATCGGCACACCCGTTGGCCAGTAAGGGATCAGCTCGACACTCCCTGACTCCTATCGTCGAACAGAAGGTTTCAAGAACCACTTATATTATATAGGAGCTCTTTTATTGTTTTTTTTTTTGCTCGCCTAAGAAGCGGCTAGCACCGAAGTGGCCAGAGTCGATCGCGCGAAATCGGCAGGGATTTCTGCTGCGCCTACTGCCTCGTTTTACTGGTGGCTCATCGTGCCTTACTTCACCCACCCTTGCACGCCGCGTGGGACCACCGTTCCGAGAAGAACCTGCTCCACCCCTACAGAGGTCCTCCGGTAACTCCTGGCGCCACGGCAGGAGTTCGCCGCCCCAGTGGACCTCCTTCCGCCCGCGTGGATGAAGCACTGCCGCTCGATGCCAACGTGCGCGAGCGGGAACGCGACGAGCGGGTCGAAGTCGGGATCGCGATGGGCCTCCAAGCGAGCGATGGACGTGTGCCAGAAGTGGGCAGTGGAGGGAATCCGATCTCCTTTTGGCCCGGATGGAAGGAGATGGATGGAGGATGGATCGGTGAGGGAGGACAAAGGCATCCTGGAGCTGAGATGAAAGATGGTCCAAACGATTGGAATCGCATGCTTTTCAATGTTTGGAAGGCACGTGGGCAGCGTCTTCTTCCTTCAACAGTGGGGCGGACAAAGACACCTGCCAGAGTTGCTGCCAGTTTTGCTGGGTTCCTATCACATGGCTCCCACTATGTTTTTTTCGAAGCAAAAATAAAGGTGGATGAAGAACTCAAGCCTTTGGTAAATCCTGAGGTGCGTGGGTTGGCCTAGCAGTCTTCTTAGAGGGGAGATCTTTCACCCTCCTACAGCTGATACATTGGACCTTCGTCAGTGACCGTCTCTCTTTGATGGCTTGGGGATGGGTTCGTGAGGTTCGTGCTGTCACCGGGAGTCGTTGTTGATATGTTTTGTTGTGACTGGCTTCACGCGAACGAAGGAAAAACGATGATGAGGGATTCAACAAGGCCACGCGGGATTCGCACAACGAACAATTGAAACCTACCGCTCTCATGGTCAAATCATCTTACACACCGAAACAGATCGCCCTGGACTGCGACGGTTCTCACAGACCATGCGTCAACAGAAGCATACTTCTAAGCCTTTGGAGAGGCAGAAGTAGAGGTGAAAATGCATCAGGCACCTCTTCAAGAAGGATACAATCGAAAAACAAATAAAAGTAATTAGGTCAAATGATTTGAATGACAACACCATATATAGTTAATGTAATCTAAACACTATCTTGATATAAAAGGACATAGACAACTAAGCTATCTCAGCTGAACTTCCACTAGAACCCCAGAGACCAGGGTTGGCTTTGTTGAAGTGGTGAGTGGTGTGATCCACACACCAACACCTTCTGGAAGGGACCATCGGCGCAAGCCGAAGCCGGTTTAGCGCGGCTTGGACACGGTGCATGGCCCGACCGACCGAGGCACCATCGCCCCGGCCCAGCAGAAGGGCACTGATCCTCCGTTGCCCGTGGTGCTGAAGCAGCTGCTCGGTGAAGACGTCTGGGGGGGGAGGGTGTTGAGGACTGAAGCGTGATGGGAAGCATCATTTGGCAGTGAGAGCCCAGCTTCGGACTGAGAGTGGACATCGGATGAAAAGGCCTCCCACACATGTTTTGCAGCAAAAAGCCCATGATTGTGATGATATTATTGGACATCATCTTGATCCTGACCATCAGTTTTTCAGAAAGGGAGACCTGGTGGCGTCCCACTCTCCATTTTTTGGGTCTCGCTTGATCCCAAGGGAAGCGCCTCTACCAGCAGTTCCATGTCGGTTCCATATAGGGGTTGTCTTGGGACATCCACTTCTAGGTCGTTGGGGGTCAGACCCACCAAGGAGCTCCCGCAGGATGACCAAACAGATGTGACTCCTGGTAGGATGACTTCGCCATGCTTGGGTCCTAATCCGGATGACGTCCGCTTCGCTGTCCTCGCTGCCTGTCGCATCCGTTGAACATGTTCACCACTCGGATCCGCCGACAGCTTTGGTGGTCTTGGTTGACGAGATGCCGGGGACTGGCACAGACGCTTTTGGGATGTCACGGATAGGACACCGGTGGGACCCGGTAGGCGCGGTGGGGTCTGGAAAAGGGTCTCAAAAGGGTCGCAAGGTGTCAGAACTTCGATAGGTGGAATTTGGGAGACCCCTCCCCTTCTTTTCCTTCGACATCTGTAACACCACCTCCGAGCCTCACCGGAACGCTTCGCGTTCAGACCCGGAAACGCCCGGGGAACTCGCGGAAACGCCGCCGACCGGCGCGAGGCCAGCGAAGGTGACCTACCGACAGACGACGGAGTCGGACCGGCGGAAGCTCCAGAGGGCCAAGCGGGGCAAGGAGGAGGAGGACGTGGGTGGGGGGTGGCTGCTGGTGGGTTCGGCCTACCTCAAAGCGGACGTCTACAAACCGGTTGTGCGGTTGACTTTGGGGGGGCGGCTGGTGGGTTAGGCCTACCTCAAGCCGGACGTGCGGTTTTTGTTGGGGGGTGGCCGACGTGAAGGCGGGTGCTAGGCGGCGGGTGCGTGAAGGTGGGGGAAGTGAGGGAAGGTGCGAGGGCGTTTTTGGATGCTGAAGCACCAGAGCCTTCATGCGCGGTTGCAGGTTGCGAGGCTGGGGGAATTTCACCAGTCGTGGTGTTTCATACCTGGATCTTAGCATGTGTATGCAAGGGTGCAACATGTTCTGCCTTCATCGATCAAATTCAGCCAAGTTAGGCAGACGTTTGGCATAGTTGGAAGATCCAGGCTATGATGGAGGTTGGGCCTTTGGGGCTCAGTCGGACTGCAACCCTCCGTGGTGCACTGATTCGCGGGGCGCCCCTGGCGCCACTCTCGATTTCAGCATCGATTTGGCGGCTCCACTCCAAGTCGCTATTCGGGCGGCGATGGCCTCCACCCGAAATAGCGATGGCCATCTCTCTGAGACATTTTTGAAGCGGCGCCACTCTGTGAGAAGAGACCCACGATGGTAGAGTTCTGGTGAGAGTGAGAGTGAGAGTGAGAGTGACAGTGACGCTGATGTGCCGGGCTGATCAGTGGGGGTGAAGTGGCCAATCTGCTAAGAATCTTAGATCAAAACCAGTCCGACCGATGTACTGGACCAAACATGACCAAACCGCTCACTTGGGGTCTAAAGACAATCCCTTTGGAGGAGCAAGTGGCTAGGGCATCTAGAGAGTGTTTAGGGTTGAAGCTAGGGAACGTGCGGGATTCTTCCTTCAACAGTTCTCGGTGACGAAAAAGCTCACGTGCGTCCTTCCAGTGACCTCCGTCTCATGCCAAAGCCCGTTCAACCGGCCTTGCTTCGTTGGAGCAAGGCCACCAGGGGATACCTTCCCCTCCTTTCGACCGAAGAACACTGCTTTTCACCACGAAGACAGGAGGATGAAGAGGGCGAAGGCGAAGGCAGCGAAGAGGACCGCGAGGACCGCCCCGACAACCCCTGACGCGTTCGCTCGCGCTCGCTCTCTTGGCTCTCTTGGCTGGATCAGCGGTTCGACGGCGAAACAAGGCACAACACATCGGTGGAGATTCTCTGCCAGGAGTCACATGTCGGGTGCCGAACGAATGGAGGTAGTCCGGGGTGCCCCTGTCACATCCACTCACTGGATGAGACCAAACAACACTCCCCCTCATTCCCCAAACAGTTTACTGTTAGGGGTTCTCAATGCTTTAAAGAATGGTCGCCTTGGTGCTGGATGGTCTTGTCGGGTTCCCAGCCGGCTTGTCTCCCACTTCCTTTGTCTCCCAGTTCTTTTCAGTCGGGGTTCCCGGCTGGCTTGTCTCCCACTTCCTTTCATTTGCCTCCCAATTCTTTTCATTTGTCTCCCAGGCCACTTCCTTTCATTTGTCTCCCACTTCTTTTCATTGTCTCCCAGGCTGGGTGCTTGTGGTCGGGTTCCGGGCCGGCTTGTCTCCCACTTCCTTTCATTTGTCTCCCACTTCTTTTCATTTGTCTCCCAGGCTGGGTGCTTGTGGTTGGCTGGCTTGTCTCCCACTTCCTTTCATTTGCCTCCCAGGCTCGGTAGGCTGGGTGCTTGTGGTCGGGTTCACTTCCTTTCATTTGTCTCCCAGGCTCGGTGCTTGTGGTCGGGTTCCCGGCCAGCTTGTCTCCCACTTCCTTTCATTTGTCTCCCACTTCTTTTCTGCTTGTGGTCGGGTTCCCGGCCGGCTTGTCTCCCACTTCCTCTTATTTGTCTCCCACTTCTTTTTCATTTGTCACCCACTTCTTTTCATTTGTCTCCCAGGCTGGGTGCTTGTGGTCGGGTTCCCGGCCCGCTTGTCTCCCACTTGCTTTCATTTGTCTCCCGGTTCTTTTCATTTATCTCCCAGAAATGCTTCATTTGTCTCCCAGGTCCGTCATGCCATGTAGCATTTCTATTCATTTGTCTTTGTCACTGCTAATTTCCGCCCTTTTCCGCTGGCCATGCAGCATTTCTATTCATTTGTCCCCCAGGCTTGTCACTGGTGGTGTCCGCCCTTTTCCGCTGTTTCTATTCATTTGTCTCCCAGGTCTGTCACTGTAGGTGTCCGCCCTTTTCCGTTGGCCATGTAGCATTTCTATTCATTTGTCTCCCAGGTCTGTCACTGCCAGTGTTTTGTCTCCCAGGTCTGTCACTGCTGGTGTCCGCCCTTTTCGTCGGCCATGCAGCATTTCTATTCATTAGTCTCCCAGGTCTGTCACTGTTGGTATCCGCCCTTTTCCGCTGGGCATGCAGCATTTCTATTAATTTGTTTCCCGGGTCTGTCACTGGTGCTGCCGCCCTTTTCCGCTGGCCATGTAGCATTTCTATTCATTTGTCTCCCATGTGACTTCTTTCTTTTTGTCTTTCAGGTTTGGTGCCTGCACTGCTGTTTTCTGCCCTGTCCGCTGGAACAGGTTCGCCTGTGAAAGGTTCTTGCTCCTTTGCAAGGGGTGCGTGACTGTCTCCGGGATTGCATTCCTGCCACACTGTGTAACTCTCTCAGCTTTGTTTTCCTTCTCGGGCAACCGTTGGATGAATGACCGGATTGGATTTCGGCGGCGTGGCAGCGATCTCTCTATTCAGTTGGGGCGGAGGGCATATGTCAGGCACCAAAAATCAATTTCATGTCACATCCTTCGCTCCTCATGCTTTTGTTTCTTGTCCTCACGTGGTCAGCTCCCCGCTGACTGAGCAGCATGACCAGCATCATGTTCGCGCTTGAAGAATAATTCCCCAAAAGGTTTACTGTTAGGGCTTCTCACTTCTTTCTTAAGATGTGTCCCCCCGCTCTGTACTGCTGTGTCCGTCTCTGCCTTGCAATCCTTTATATTTATCTCCCAGCTCTGGACGTCGCAAGCTCTAGTTTCGATTTTGAAAAACACAAACTGTTTGGGGTCTACGGTGGTGTAATTTTCTTTTAAGACGGAGCTGTTCTTCAACTGTCCGATGTGACCGTCGTCCGTGAACCGGCCTTGGCGTCGCCGGATGGCGAAAGCGGTTTCACCGGGTGTTTTTGGCTGCGCCGAAAGAAACGGTTTGACCCTGGCGGCCCCCGGTTTCACGAGGGAGGACAGGCCGGGGTTCTGCCGCCAAGGCAGCAGCTCCCTCTGTCTCACCCGCCCGCAGAATGCGAACCCCCATCGACCGGAGAAAAGGGCACGCCCGGCAGCGGCCGGCCGCGGCCGGCCGCGGCCGGCCGTTGGAGGACGACTAGGGGCTCCTGGCCTCGCGACTCGAACGGAGCGTATCGGACACGCTACGAGGTAGGGGCTCCTGGCTGTACCTACTAGGAACAAGGACGCTAGAGGCTCCTACTTCGTCGCTTGGGAGTCGGTTTGGGAGCCTAAAGGCCGCGTGGGGCGGGACCGCCGGTTCGAACGCCGAAGCAGCGTAGGATGGTGGAACGTTTTTTGGCGGGTTGCCGGTGGTAACGAGTTCGCCCCACAACAGGTGAGTTGATCACTCCATGACAGGACCGTACTGGGTCTTTGGACCTGGGAAGGGTCAATGAGACTGGGCGACGTGGGGCCGTGTCCAAACACGGATCCCGAGCCCGCGGCACGTGGACCTCCTGAAGGATTCGTCGATTCATGTCTGGTGCTCCACCAGGGTCCGATTTTGGCCCCCCGGCTGTTCTTGTGCAAGCCTCCTGTTCCATCCGAACTGAGCTTCGCTTGCCTCCACCACCCAAACACGTGGGACGTTTGTGGGGCCTCCAAAGCGTTCGGTCGACTCCGGTCGGTGTTTCACCGCCCCGGATCGACCGTGGAGCATCCCTTCGGAGGCCTGGCGTCACCGGGTGCAACTGCGAGTGAGTACGGCCGAGCAGCAGGAGGCGAGTGTGCCGGGGTCGGCTTGGTGATCGAATGCCGGGGTTGAGAAGCACGGCTGACACTGGTGCCGGCTGGCGGGGGGGTGGAAAGGAGGCTGGGGGTGAGTGATGGTCGAAGTGGTTTTCAGGGCTGCCTGCCCTGGCCAAGAAGTACAAGTCTGATCAAGTCTATAGTCTATAGGCCGCTACTGTAGAAGATTTACGTACGCATGTTTGCAGTTTTGAAAGGAAGTTGAGGGGTAGAAAAGAGCTGGCACGTGCTTCGGAACATCCGCACTTCGACCAAACTGACAGGGTTTCGGTTTCGGAGGGGTTGTTGTTTTGCATCGGCAGGGGTGGCCTTGACGAGCGGGAACAATACAACAGCAGCTCGCCTGACAAAACAAGCCACTAAAGCGGCAAAGCCCAGTTCCATGGAACCATGCGCGTGCGTGATGCACTGGACGTCGTGATGAGAAGATGATTGAAGTACACAGACACAGGTGAAGCAAACTCATGAAATTCTGACAGCTCTTGAGCAAAGGACTTGGTAGCATGATCAGCGTGTGTAGCAAGCTGAAGTCTTCTAGACCTAGCACCCGCTTGGGCAGCACGCAAGCTTGTGCACCGATCCACCGGCTGAAGCGAAAATGGCCGCGCAGCTTGAGGTGTCAGACTTTCGAGGCAGCTTCAGAGTCCGGGAGCAGTTTGGGTCCACTGGGTGAATCGCTACGCGCTTGACGTGAACAGTAGCAGACCGGTGCCAAACTAGGTGTGCTTCGCACTCCTATCCTGTTTCAGTGGCTTCGCTTACACGCGCAGAGCCCTTCTTCTTCGTCCGCTTTGTTTTGCACGGGGCTCGCGAACGTTTCAGGCCCACTGGCACTTTGTGTACATACGATGTGGCCTGTTCCGTGATAGACGTGACGTGTTACGAATTGCCTAGAGGGGCGTTGCCTCCTTTCATAAACCTAGACCGAACATGTCACTTCCGTGCCAACTGGCTCGCAACTAGGATTTTTTGCATTTGTGCGCAAGTGGGAAAACATGAAACTATGTTCAAAGTTCAATACGCGTAAAGTAAGAGGCCCCCTGTACCAACGGAAACTCCAAACTTATATTTGTTACACTTTCCACTGGTATACGGCCCTGAAGGGCCAACTTGGCCTGATCCGCGCCCGTCGAAGCATTGCTCACCGTGGTCTGGTTGCCGTCCGAGCCCTGCAGATGTTGGAGCTGATCGAAAGCAGCAATACGCGGCCTCGCCGCACAAGGGGGGTGGAGACGGGATACAGGAATTTGGATCCAAATCTGGTTTGGTTCATCATGCGACCACAACCATCATTCGAGGTTGCCTTGATTGTGATACTGACTGCGTGAGGCGGTGGCTGCAGGATTGAACTCCATTTATCCATTTTGGAGGGTGCCTTTAATTTTTCTAGAGCATTGCAACATGAGCCACCGGATTGTGCATGTGGTCTACAGTTTTGGACATATTATGATCGAACTACAGATCATGTTCCTTGCGGACATGGAGGGGGAGGAGGGGATGTCTTCTTTTCGTGGGGCAAGTTGCGGCATGATGCTAACATCACCACATGCTCTAGAAATCCAAAGACTATAGGTTGTTTGTTCACCCTTCGGTAGAAGGGAATTCCTCACCTCGGGTCACCTCAAATTTGGATCTCCTGGGTTCCACGGGGCGTTGGGTGAGTTGCAGACACTCAACAAAACGAAGCGTCCATCCCCGGTGTGATTGCCGCGGTTGTCATAATCCACCACTGCATAGCTATACTACCATGAGTCATTTGGACTCTCAGGGTCTATGAAAAGCTCTAATTACAGGCGGGGATCAAGATGGTCAAGGCTTACTATTGGGTCGGCGCGGGGGTCGGCGATTTTCGGCGAGGCGCCGCGCAAGGCACCGCGTCGCAGTTCTTTTTTTAACGTCCTTTATTCCACCCATTTTCCCTATTTTTCCAATCCACCCACCGGTTCCTTTTTTGGGTGTTTCCATTTCTTCCTTCACGCGGCCAAACCGCTCGGGACTCCTCCGCCTTCGTGGATGGAGCCCTGGTCAGGTGGATTCAGGTGATGCGGCAGGAGCGCTGGGACCACGAGGAGCGGCGGCTGAACGTCACGGTGGACGGTGGACGGTGGACGGTGGGTG